AAATATATTTTTAATTAAATAGTTCCTATTTGTTATTAGAAATCCATGCAATCATAATAATAAATATAACAGCTAAAATTTATATATAAATATACCTTCCTATTATATATTATATGAAATATATTTTTCATTTAATTAATTAATTTTTTAATTTTAATATTCATTTTTTTTGTATTTTTAAATATTTCTTTTTATGGAAAATAACATTAGAAAAAAATTTTAATTATTAAAATTTTTTAACTTTTATTTTAAATGGACCTGTCTCCTACTATTTTTTTTAAGGGTGTAGTTTCATAGATAAATTTATCAATCACAAGAATTTCCCATTATGAACCTTTATAATGATTAATCTTGCATAGTTATAATAATTTTGGAAATCCACTTTAAAAAGTATAATTTTTGTTTCACTACAATAGACTTGAAGGATTCGTTTGGATAAACTAAGCTTACTTTATTTGGCTTTAGAATAATTTACAAAATACAATATAATCCCAAGATGAATTCAATATACTATGAAATACACTATAACAATCAAATATATAAAGGAAAGTCTTCAAATTAAGGTTGAGAAAGAAGTATTTATACATAAAATACACTTTAGTATTCATTACTTTCATATTATGAATAATTTCACAGTTATTTATATTTAAAAATTTTACTCTCTAGTATATCTTTATATAAAAAGTAAATTTAGATTATTTAAATGCTATAAGGTTATTAAATATTAGCTACTTATTATTTATTATAAAAGAAACTATAAAATTTTAATGCTCTTAGTTATTTGTTTAGCGCTTATTTTACTAAAGTTAAAAAGGTTACTTTTTAAGCCAAGAATAATACACTTAAGACTCCAGTTACACTATTACTGTTTCATTTAAATATTTGAATTACACTATCCCCAAATTATGCGTAATGAGATCATCCTCAATAATAAGCATTTATGCTAGTTGAAAGCTTGGATTGAAAAAAATTACCCATAATAATTCAAGTCATATTCAATCTATTCATCACAAAATGCATTATTTTTCTATGCCACACATAAATGATAAAAAAAATAGAAAAGAATTTCATAAATTTAATAATAGAATTTGAAATTTATATTGATTAAAATTTGAGACTAAAATTTTAATGGTAGATTATACTTTTTTGAAAAATTTGAGAAACAAACATCAAAAAATTTAGATTAAGAAGATGCTTACAACTTCATCATAAGTTTACAAAAGTAATGTATTTAAGCATTAGCTGAAATCATGTCAATTTTGTCCTTAATAGGCACTACTAAACAGGAATGTATTAGGGTAAAGAAAAGCAGATATTTCACTTTGGAGACTTAAAACCATGAATTTCCAAAAAATAATATTTGAATTTTGAGGTGGTATTTAAATCCAAATATAGCTGTTGTGATAATATTATATTGAAGAATTTTTTGATAATAGTGTTTACATTTGAGGAGGATACCTTATAAGCTGTATTTGTAAGAGCATGTGAGAATTTTACAATCTTGGCATAAATAAATTAAATATTATCAAAATATGTAATTTAACAATGTATAATTATTAAGATATTAATTAATTTAATTGATAAATCAAAAAAACATTTATTATAATTAAATCTTCTTTTCTTTTTATGCGATTATAAATTGTTATTTCTTTTTTATATAATCTATACCTTTCTTGATAAGTATGTAACTGTATTTAATTAATGGAGATATTAATCCAAAGCATAAAATCCCTATTTAACAAAATCCTATGAAAACTTATTAATCATTCGTTAAATGTTTAACAAAGTCATTATGAAGAGGGAGGCAAGAAAATGTAAAAATTATTATTGGTAATTCAAACCAAAAAGTGACAATTATTTCAATATTGTTTTTTATTAGCTTTGATATTATAACGATACCAAGGTAAAATGAATTTACTAAAGCTAATAAAAGACATTGAATAATTGAATCATCTTAAGCCTTAATCAAGAAAAAGAGGAATAACAATTTTTTGATAACAATCAGCCCTTGATTTCTGTTTATTTTTGAAAACCTAAATAATTTATTCTATTAAGTGGCAAACATGCAAAATAAAGAAATAAAAATAAGAGATATCATTATTATTACACCAAATGTGCTCGAAAGATAGGTTCTTATAGAATATTAGGGTTTGGAATAAATAAATAGGATAATTTTAAAAAGAACATCCCAACTATTTGCTAAAAACAATAGTTTCAATCCTTTTTTTGTAAATATTTTGCTTAATCCCTTAATAATTTTGTTGATCTAATATAGAAATAAAACAATTCTATCCAAAATCATAGAATTTCTCTATTTAATCTCAATTAATTGTCTTGATGAAATGAATTGCCTTTAAAAAATCTTATTATAAAGATTAAAAAAAATAAATAGAGCTAACAACAATAAAATTTAGCAAATTTAACTCTGTAAATTAATTAGCAAATCTGCATTAATTTAATAAAAGTAAAACTTCCCAAATGACTCTAAAAATTCTGAACCAAATATTTTTTAAAATAAATCTACTAAATTAAATTTAATTAACGCAGGTTGAATTGAAATTAGATCTGAAGATTCAAAATATATAAAGACATTTTCTGGAAAATTAATATTAATAAATCTGAGATAGGATTAATATTATAAAGCATCAAGAACTTCAAAACAATCCTATGGGTTACCAGATAATAAAATTATAGATCCTGAAATAGCAAGTATTATAAGCATCATTGTGTAAAATTTACCTGTTTTTTAAGAAATTTCCTTCTCAGCTTCGCTCAACACAACAGGATTAGACAATTTTATTTTATATTCTTTTTGAATTACTTCTAAACCATAATTATTGATCAATGTAATATTGAATTAAATGTGAAAAATTAGTTCAACTTCTAATTATTTGAGTAATTCAATAGTAAATAGGTATTAAATTTCATTTAGTTGTTCAAAAGTTGGTTCAGCTTCAACATCAAAAGTTATGATATAATCTAAAGGATTAACATTTATAATTGAAGTTTTAAGATTTTAGGTTAAGTTTTGATTGTCTTCTTTTAATCTTACTTATTGAGAACTTTTCATTAAAATAAATTATTTATTAAAAGTGGTATTCAATAATTTTATTTCTACAATAGGATTATTATTTTGAAAACACTAGCTTCTTTACTTTTAATCATTTATGCATTTCCAAAAGATTTCTATTTAACATGTTTCAGAGCATCCATCCTCAAAAAATATATTTCCATCATCACACTCTTCATTCTGAGTCTTTATACCATTCCCACACTGTTCTTAACATTTATTATTTTCCAATTAAAAACCATTTTCACAATTTATGCAATATCCATCAATACATTCTTAACAGTTAAGTGAACATGAGTATTAACATTTAAAACATCCATCAAAAGGTTCATTATTTTCATCATCACATCTTTCATCTGAAGCTACAATTAAGTCTCCGCAAATAGACAAACATTTATTATCAATCAAATAAAATCCAAAATTACATGTTTCAATTTGGACCTCTTCAAAGTATGACTATAAACATGTACCATCAAGACAATCAATACAATTTTCTTAACATTAATATTAACATTCAAAACAACCATCATATGGAATAGTATTTCCATCATCGCATTATTCAAAATCTTAGATTATTCCATTCCCACACACAGAAAAACTAGAAGATGGATTAGACGCTGTTTCAAATTTACAATTATGATTCTCTTCTTCATTTTCATAATTACCATCATTACAATATTTTTGAAAATCTGCTATAACCTCGTTTTCACATTCATGAATACATTATTAATTAATTAAATTCCAGTCAGGCAAGTATTTTATACACAATGAATAATAACATTCAAAGCATTTTAATTAGCAATAATGATTAATAGGTAAACATTCTGTCACTTTATTTACAATTTGATAATTTATCAAATTAACACTCTGATTATTAGAGCAATATGGGATACAATTATTATTAATCAATTAAAATAAAGGATCACAAATTAAACATAAGCCATATTAACATTTAATGCAATTTTAAGGACATGAGAATTTACATTAATAACAACCATCATAAGGAATTGAATTGGAATCATCACATTCCTCAAATCCAACAATTAATCCATCTCCACAATTACTATAACAATTATAATTTATAGGATCATACAACCAATTAATATCACATTCGATACACAAACCTTTTACACAATTACTACAACCTTCACTACAATCAAATTGTTAATTAAAACATCCATCAAACGGATTAATGTTCTAATCATTACAAATATCTATTTCTAGAGCATCAGAGAATATTTCGAAGTCTAAGATTCCAAAATAAGCAACATTATCATTAAAATTATTAACTTCTATTTATATTGTTATTAGTAGATCAGGAAGATTATGTTAAATTAAGGCATCAAAAACATAAATCTTTTACGATTATCCGCATATCAAATAAAAGTAGTTATAATAAATACTATCAATATCAGTATTGTTTTGGTATTAATTTACATAAACTTTGGCTTTATATGCTTCACCTACAATAATTAGCTTGAATCTTAATCTTATTTTTGAATGATTATCTTGGATAAATGAATGATGTTAAATTATATCTTAATTAACAAATGGCCCATAAAATTGTAAACCTAAATTATAATAAATAAAAGATTACTTCCACAGCTTGTCTTTTCATTAAAATATATAGTGTTTTTAAACCATCCTTCCATAAATTATAAGTTTTTCTATCCATAAACACTATTAAATTAAGTCCAATCATTGCATATACCAAACTCATCACAAGAATAACATTTTGAAGGACATTAAAGTATGTATAATTCAAAATCAGTAATTCCCCAATAAGTGGATGGGTCTGCAAAAACAGGCTGAAAAATTTAAATTAAAAGAGTTGAACTAAAATGAAAGTTTCCAAACCCAAAAAAGTATTCACTCATTTACTTATTATCATTGCATGTAATAAAAGTATTCCTTTATGAAGAGTATTGGAAATCTTAATCATCTAGTAATAAAACTAAGTAGATATCATGCAATGAAAAATCATAGACTCTAAATCGTACATCCACATAATAATGAGAAGGAAGAAAAATGTTTTGGTTATCACCATATTTTACATTCCACCAAAAAGATTTTTATCCCAACATTAATAAGTTAAATCTGAACTTAATTCTATTGAATCTTAAAATATCATCCAATCTAATTTATCATTATTTATATTTACCATCTTAAGATGTAAATTCCGTACTATATATTAAATTCTAACATTTAACAATTTATACAGTTACAATCAAAGACCAACAAAAAATAATCAACTAATGTAAGGATCTTTAATTTTCAATTATAGGTTAATATGAAACCAAAGCCATAATCAATAAATAAAATATTTTTCATAAGAGATCTATGTAGATTTTTATATTCTAAATAATATTATAAATCTATATATTATTATATATTTAATGCGTATTAAGATAAAAAGAAGGTTTCCTATTTATTTAATTAAGCTTTGTTGTTTTTATTGTGAAATATGTCCTTCTAATTTATATCAATGCTTTAATCTATTAGCTTTTTCATCAAAGGAATAATCAAAATTTATAGTATGTAAAAATCAACTATAATTTATCTTTGTTTAACTTTATGATAATACTAAAGGGCTGCTGATATAAATTGGCTAAATGACAATTTTTATAAAATTATTTTATATTCCATAAAATTAAATTTTTATTTTAAATGAATAACAAATAAAATATATAAAAATATTAGAAGAAAGTCTATTTTGAAAATTATTAATTAAAACTAATTATTATTCAAAAGTAAGATTGATTAATCTAATTTAACACCTGAAATCATGAATTAAGAAATTTTCTTACTTCATTAATCAATTTTAAATTAAAGTTATGATTATATTACAATAGAATCTAAAAAGAATATATAATAATATATATTTGTTTTTTTTACTCTAGTAAATAGTAGACTTATTAATATTTGGATAAATCATTTAATAAATAAGACGATCCTTTATTATTTATATGAATAGTCTACATTTTTTTGATATCAATAATTAAGTTTAATGACATTGAATAAAATTATAAATCATATTCATTTTTTTTTATGAGAATTGGAAAAATTTTTTAGATATTACTTTCATAAACAATCCCAAAATAATATCTCAACTTTATATTATTTTACTTTTAAGTTGTAACTTTTAATAACAACTTTTTAAAATTATTCCATATTTTTCATATTGTATAATATCCAATATCATGCTCACTTAAAAAATATCTGAATCTTGCTTTTTGATATTGTTAAATTTAACTTAAATGTTTATAAATCAATAATATAATGATGTAGGAAAAATATATTTGAATGTCATAGGAGAGATTTCCAGGGTGTATATTTTATTTGAGTGTCACAGGCAAAGAGAAATATGAGTTGACAGAAACAACTTCTGATTAGTATGGCAAGTAGATAGAAAAAACTACTACATAAACATATACTGGATTGTCTTAGATATATTAATATAAAGTGGAAATATACAATTTTGAGAATCTTATATATACACTTTATGTTAATTTGTATTTCATTTTTAATTTTTAATTTTATCTCATTATCCTGGTTCATATTATGAAAAAGCTTTAGCCAAGATATCCTACAAGGTTAAAGCTCTTGTTCAAGCTAAGCAATCTTCCTTCAATTTTATCAAACATAGTCAAAAGCTCATAATTATGGAACCATAAAGAGAATTTAAAGTCTATAAGGGTCAGGCTTGTATGTAACTTCCTAAAGTGCTGTTTCCGAAGAAAAGGAGTACTGAAAAAAAATTAAATTTAGGCTTTTTAAGTTTAATGTTTTATTGATAAATTTAACTTTCATTCAGGAGATAGAGTAAGTTTAACTATTGATATAGATAACTCTAAATTAGATTAACTAGTGCATTCTTTATCAATAAGATTATACAATCAAAGGTAACTAAACTAGCTTTAATTATCGAACTAAATCAAGCTAATTAATCGAAGGAGTAGCAGCAAACTGCAAAAAATAATTAAACGTGAAGTTTTTTTTGAAAAATAATGATCCTTATAATGAATTATTACCATCAGTAAACTTCAAATTAATCTAGTCAGAATATCAATTAGTTATTTAAGCCAATGTGGATTGTATTATTAATATTTAATTTTTAGCTGATAGCTGTTGCAAATAATATTCATCTATTATTTTCCTATTAAGATTCTAGCACCTGCTATTTAAAGCAACGATATAATTTTAATACGAACCTCCTAAACGGAATCCTTAAGTTTTTTAGAACTAAAAAGTTTGCTTAACAGATCGAAATAAGTATTAGAAAAAAAATATAAGTTAACGAATACTAGGCTATTGTTATTATTGAAAAATTCAAAATATTTTGTAAATATGAATGGATTAATGAAATTTAATGCTTTATTTCATAATGAGAAGGGGTGTCAACAAAAAAAGTCCAATAATTTCTAAGACATATTATGAAATGAAAAATTAAATTAAAAAAAATTGTGTAAAATTTAAAGATTAGAATATTTCTAGCTGAAAAGGAGTCCCAAAATATGTTTCATTTTTTTTAAATTCAAAAAAATGCCTATGGGGTAAAGATAGTTAAATAGTAAGTTAATAAAAGATTATCCAGAAAAATATTTAAAAGAGATATATTATGTTATAATAAAATAAATCAACTTTCTTTTCCAATAATTTTATTTTGAAAATCTTTCTGGAGTTTAAATTGCTCCATTACTATAGACAGCTATCCATAAAGCAAACATTTTAACAAAGAAGACGATGCATCCTGTTAATTAATTAGAAGTGACTGTGTTTATATAATAATTATTTTTACAGTATATGTAGATAATACATTCTCATTAGCCAACTCAACAGCTATAATATAATCAGAGGGCTATATAATGATATATAAATATATACTTCTGAAGTTTCAGTAATTTCTTCTAAAACCTATACATTTGAAGATATTTTTGAGAATATCACTGAGAATGTAAGTAATATTGTAGCAAAAACTAAATATCATCTCAATAGCTTCAAAAGAGAAACCAATAAAATAAATATTTAAGGAGAGTGGAATAAAAATTTATTTTTGACCTAAATTATTCTAAAATAATTATCATTGAAAATAGAGATGTTCATTAACAAACTTCTTAAAAACAGTTTTAGAAAATTTTTGTACACTAAACAAATAAAAGCATTTTGAAATTATAAAACTAATTAAAATTGTTAATCCTCTTCAATCTTATTAATAAATCATTTTACTTTTTGTTAACAAAAATTAGTAAATATTCAAAAGTCTGTATAAAACTAGTTTTAAATTTAACTAATTAAACATTTCCTTTTAATTGTTCTAAAATAAATAAGTTGAAAAAGAGTTTAGAACTATTTTCTTTATTATTTGTTAAAAATTTGATTACTTATTATTTTATGAAAACTTCAAATCTTAAAAATCATTTTTATGATTTTATTTAAACTACTCTAAATGTTCATAGGAATGAATCAATTTAATTGAAGTATTCAAATAATTGATTGAATGAATTTCAATAAGAAAATTATTATTATATGAAATACTTGAAAAAATAAGATATATGGCTAATTTATCATTATCATTTATATTTGATATTTTATTTCATTCTATATTATAAATTTCAAATATTATCAAAATTTTAACTTTTTATTAACAAAGGTAAACAGATATAATTCTTGTTATCTATTTCCTACTTCTAACAATAGATTTGATAACTACAATTGTTGCTAATTGATTATTCTATTTTGTCTATTTGATATACTTCTGTTCTATAATTCCTTTCATTATGATTATATCATGACTTATAAATGTGAATGATAATTTTTTAGTATCTAATATTGGATTATCTCTTCCAAAAAAAAAAAATTTCCACTAAGCATTTTGAATGCAAAACATTATTTTCACAGTCTTTGGAATTACTTAATCACAAAGACAAAAACATAAACTTTATACAGGTAAAACAAATCCTTTTCATAATTCATTTATTTAACAATTACAAACTTATAATTGAAAAGAATAATTTTTTGGATATTATTTAATCTATGATTGATCAAGTAATATTATTATATTATACTTTCTCAAGTTCTGATTATTATTATTTTTCTTTTTATAGCATTTCTGTATTCTTTTGATCAACTTGTATTT